ACTGAAACTGTTGGAGGCCAAGGCGAAATCACGCTCCGTGCCCTCCGACTTAGGGCTGAATGTGACTGTGACAACTGCGTTATCAGCCCTGACAATGTGGCCGCCGACTCTGCTGACAAAACCTTGCCCGGCTAGATCGGCCGAGGACATGCCCCAGCCGGCGAGGACAACCCATGACAGAGACAGCGACGTGAGAAGGGCCCCCCAATCTAGAGTACCTGAAGAGATTGCGGCCGTACCACCCTTCTCCTGAGTACCCTGAAAAGAAAAAGGCGACGAACGACGAGCCTTTCATCGCTATGACGGACGCGCGAAAACCATCGAGCATCTGATGTCCGTCAGCCCTGAAGGCCTTCCAGGACTCAGATGACAGAGAATGAGCGGCGCGGTGACCTGCTGCTGAAACCCACTCACCGCCCTCGTTGGACCGATGCGCATTGTCTCCTATGGTAGCTTTCGCCGACGGCCTGGCTGGGTTGGCGGTGAGGCGAAGGCCTGCCTTCCTAGCCTCCTTCCTCCAGTGCGCCAGGCCGTCTGGATCCACGTGAGATTCGACAATGCCCGTGACGTGAAATCGTTCATGCGGAGTACTCGAGATAATGTAGCCCCGCATCTTGGGCCCCGCACAAGTAGCTGGCGAAGAAGAGGGTGGACAGCTCATTATCCGTTCCCTGGGTGGTGACTGCCGACCTCGAACCCGAACTCGAACCCAAGGTCTGGGCCGAGGGAGAGGCTGGCGTCGATGCAGTCGTCGAACTTCTCAGACTAGCGGTGACGATGGCCTCCTCCCTCGGCTCTGGCAAACATGGTGGCGCAGGCGTGGACACCGCTGTCTGCTGCAAGACGGCCTTGCCCACCTGGGCTGCCTCCTTGGCTGCCTTGACCGCTGCGAACTTCGCCTCCGACAGCTTGGCTGCAGCTGCGGCATGGCGCGCCTCAGCAGCCTCAGAACCTGCGCTGTCGGGCGTCGCCGCGGTTGTCGCCGTTCCCCCACCCCCCGCGGGCTGGGGGGCACTCGCTCCGCCAACGGCGTGGGTGCCCTCAGCAGGGGCGTCAACCCCTGCGCCCGCGGGTGGAGCTGTCGGCGACGGGGCGACCTCACCAGCCCGACGCTTCTTGACGAGCCTCTCGGTGATGGCTACCTTCAAGGCCGCTGTGCGCTCCTGCCACTGCTTCACCTGCGCGTGCTTACTGCTGACCATCTCCTGGGTGGAGCGCAGCTGGGCCTCGAGCTCGCGAAGGGCGGTGCGCTCGTGCTCCTCACACTCCAAGGAGTCGAACTCCGAGAAGAACTTGTCGTCGATGGACAGCTGGAAGAGCTCCGCCGTCTCTGGGACGCAGACCTCGGACGGCTTCTGCTCCTCAAAGACGCCCATCTGTTGAGCCAGCACCCGAGCGGCCTTGCTCCTGGCCTCACCGGCCCTGGCCAGCTCAAGGGCCGCTGCCTTTTCCTTGACCTCCGCCTGCCGGAGGTTGTCCTTCGCTTGCAACACTGCTGCAACTGCTTGATCGTGCTTCATCGATGCGGCCCGCCACGCGCCCGAAGTCTGGCGGACTGCCTCCTCGGGCGTGATGTTGGGTTTGGCCGCGTCCTTCTTTTGAATCTCTCCCTCGAGCAGCCTGCGCAAGAGCGGGTCCTGCGTGGTGCTGAGGGTGGGCACCAGGAGGTCTAAGTCTGTCGCCGTCGAACCGCCTGACTCTCCTGGCTTGGAACCTTTGCCTCCGCCTCCGTTGGAATCGACAATCTGGAGCTGGTTGCCGAGCGAGCGAACGAGCGAGGGGGGGAGTGAAAAGGAGAAGGTCTTCTCGGAAGGCGACGGGGCTTTTCAGAAGCTCCCCCGCGCCTCCTGAAAAGTTTTCTCTGTGTCTTCGGGGCGTGCTCAGAAGAATTCTCAGGAAGGGCCCGGGGGACTTCTGAGCCTCCTGAAAGGCCCGCCCCTTCTCACTTTCCCCCCTCTCGCTACCGAGACCAATACGGCACCTGGACCCTCACAGGGATGGCGAGGTCTGGCTCGTGCCTGCGTAAGACGCTACTCTCCTGGACAGGCCCCCAGGGCCACAGCCAAGTCGGGGCACGTGCGTGCCTGCCAGCAGCAAGAGACGCAAGAGACGCGGGGAAAGAGGACAGAGGAGGGAGGAGGCGAAAAGAGAGAGGAGAAACAACGAATACGCGATTCAAAACGGGGACGTAACAGGCGAACATAAACAATCCCAAGAGAGGGTTCCAAGACTCCGCGGGCCCACGTCGGGGGGGGGGAAGCATACTTTTCAAGCATGCCAGCCATTCATCCTGGCTGATAGGATGCCAAACCCGGGCCAATGTAATACCGAGCCTGATGAGCTGCCGACCGCGGCGACAGCTGCAACACCATCCAAGAGAAGCAGCGAACCTGAAGCCAATGTGGGGAGGGAGGAAGGGAGAGAAGGGAAGGAGCGAAAGAACGACGCAGACCCCTGCCGCCCGTGCTTGTCCCACACGTGGCCCTTGGACCACCTCTCGACCCCTTCCCTGAGCTGGCTCTTCCTCCCGGAGCACCGTCCGATGGCAGCAAGACCAGTGCTGGGCCTCCAGCCGCCACGACCGGAAAGGAACACTCTGGGGAAACTTGAAAAAAGGTACCGATGCATTTCGAGGCGAATCCAGCGGAGGCGACGAGGGCCTCCCAGGAGGCCCAAAAAGGGGAAAACGGGCAAGGAGGTAGAGGTATGGGTACCTTTTCCTCCTCCGCATCTTGGCCTCGAGCCGAAGCATAGGGCGAAATCTGACCAGCATCTCGAGGAGAATCCCGCCGTGGCGACGAGGAATCTCCAGCACGAGCATTATGTTGTTCCCATCCTACATAAGGACCACATCCCAGAAATGAAAGTGTCAAAACAGTGTCGAAACAATGTCGGGCGAGTGTCCCCCAGGGACCGACACGTGAAAACTCTCGAGTTTCGGTACTTTTTGGGGCGCTCGAAATTCTTTCTGGTGATCAAGGCTAAAGTAGGTTGGAGCATCACAGCACGAGCAGCGGCACCGGCACCTCCTCCTCCGATCCTTCGGCCCGTGGGCGCCTCGTGGGCGCCTCGTGCGCCGGGCGGGTGGAGCGTGGTCGCCAGGCGAGGAGGAGGAGGAGGAGGAGGAGAAGGAGGAGGAGGAGGAGGAGGAGGGAGGAGGAGGAGGGAGGAGGAAGAGGAGGAGCAGGAGGAGGAGGAGCAGTAGGAGAAGAGGGAGGAGGAGGGGGAGGGGGAGGAGGAGCAGGAGGAGGAGAGGGAGGAGGAGGGGGAGGCGGAGGAGGGGGAGGAGGAGGGGGGGAGGCGGAGGAGGGCCTGCCGCCCGTGGGCGCTTCGTGGGCGCTGCGTGGGCGCTGCTCGTGTTGCGGGGCGGGTGTGGTGGCCACACGGCCTGCCTCGCAAGGCTTGCACCACATCGTTCTCACACAGCCTGGCTTCAACCACACACGGCGCACACCACACACACACAGCTCACACCTCACACAGCCTGCACCACCCAGTCTGCACCGCCCAGCTTGAACCCCACACGGCTTACGCCGCATAACGTGGCACCGCATGGCTTGCACCACGCATCTTCCGCCACATAATTTGCAGCACATGTATGGTACCACATAGCTTGCACCACGTGGTTTGCCCAGCTCGTCTTGTAACACCACGCTAGAAGACATATAGCGTTGTAGTGTATACATCGTTGAAAAAGCGCTCTGGCGCCCATGTTCGGACAATTACGGACCCGACTTAGGCCCCAAATCGGGGGCCAAACCGGCCCAACGCAGGACCTGGGCGATTAGAGTTCGGACTGAGCTCGGGTCAAATTCGGGGACGCTCGCGCTTGGGCCACCCAGCCATCTAAAAACCTCCCAAGGCCCTCGTCGAGCCCTTCTGGCTACTTTGTTGTTGACCGATCTCGAGGCCCTCTCTCAGGCTCCTCGTGGCGCCTCTTGGGTAATTTTCTGGGGCGTCTTTGTTCGGGCTGCCGTCTGGCTACCTGCTGGTCTCCTGTACAGTGAACCTGTATCATAAGGATGCGCGGTAAGGATGCAAGGGCCTTGGGAGCCATTTCGAAACTTTTCGAGCGGGGCGCGGCCAAAGAAAGTCGCCAAGGATGGACCGAGGAGGCAAGGATGCAAGGGTGCCCTTGGGAAGGTTGTCCATCCCTACTATGCGGGTTGACTGTATCTCCTCGTCTCCTCTTACTGGAGAGGGGCCAGCTGGTGAGGATCAAGGGGGCAAGCTTCTGGTGGCACTGACGACGGACCCACAGTCAGACGATGATCGAAACGTCGATTAGCCGCGCTGCATGAATCCGGTCGGCGACGGACTAGGAAAACATGGAGCGTAGGAGGGGGTACAAGATACTTGCGGGACCGCCTGCACCTGCTCTCAACGTGCACACACCCCGACCTCGGGGCCACCTTCGGCTCGACCGGCGAGAACCAGACTGGGTGGAACGCGAAAAGCGCCATGGAGAAAGACCGCGACGCTGGAGCTCTCTGGAAGCCGTTTTGCACGTCTCGGCGATAGTCCAGGCTATCCGGTAGGGGGGCGAGAGGGAGGTGCTGGCCGAGAGCCACACTCTTGCGCTTTGAGCAACCCCTCGCATGCCCGCGCGCACCGACACTGCGCGCCCCCGTCGGACCTGCGCAACCGACAAGGTCCGGATAGCCGTGGGGGGGGGGGGGGGCGGGCGGGGCCGATGACCCGTCGTACAGCCAACCCGCCAACCCGTATCAGAAGGATGCGCGGTGAGGACGCAAGGGCCTTGGAGGGCCACGCTGGCGTTCCTCGAACGAGATTGGCCAACGAAAGTGGCCAAGGATGGGCCGAAGAGGCAGGGATGCCAGGGTACGCCTGGGAAGGATGCCCATCCTAACTATGCGGGTGGACTGTAGCGCCAGACCCTCAACACCAGAAACACCGTGGGCCTTCCAGGAGGGCCACGACCGCTCCCCGGAGCCCTCCAGCCTCGCAGCTCTCCGGGCGGCGCGCGCACCGGCCCGCTCCTCGGGGCCCCGGTCCGTGGGCGGCTGCGCCGACATGGAGGGCGCGGCGGGGGGACGCCGCGCGCAGCTGACCAGGGATCTGTCGCCCCCTGCCTGCGGCCTCGTGGTGCTTCGAATGGACTAACAGTTTTGAAGGGGCCCAGGGACACACAAGAAATACACACACACACAAATCCCACGATTCCTCCTATATCCTCATATGTTCTGGATTTTCGTCTTCCCCCCCCACCCCCCCGCGTCCCATATCTTGCCACCTTTTCCGGCGGATCGACGATTCATTGTGTATGGGTGCATTTTCCCCCCCTTATATTTAAAGTTTGGGGCCCAAATCGGGGATATACGATGGGGGGCGCCCATCCTCGGTAGGGCTGCGTCCGAGTAGCGCCCAGGGCGTGCATCCCCGAGTTTCCCTCGTTTTGTGCGCGGCCTGATGTTTCTTGAGGACAGCACAGCAGGGCTGGGCCTAAACTTTGTTTTTCGTTTTGTTTCTCATTTTGCTCTACCTGTTTTCCTGTACCTCCCTGCCAAAACCCAAAAACAGAGCACAGCCGCAGTTCAGCAAAACAGCGTTTAGGTCCAGCCCTGTTTTGACCCGCAGACCCCCACCAAAAAACACCCATCCTCAGCCAGGAACTCCTGGATCACCAGGTTGGGAAGGAGCGCCCTGGCTGGGGGTGAGGGTGCGCGGTGCTGCCCTCATGTTTATGAGAAGTACCATGCGGAAAATCACGGGGGGCCTCGCATTCCATCTTGCCGGCTCTTGCGAATCGATGCTAATCGAACCTCATCGACGCAAACTCGACGCTAGTCGGCACTCATCGAAGCGAAATCGGCGCTCCTTCTTGACTGCCAGACGCAAGTGCACGGTAGCCCAATTCTCAAGACGGAATTGCGAAGACACAGAGAAAGCTCCGATGAATTGGCGGAGCGCACGAAGGGGTGGATGGAGGGGTACAGGCTTCTGAGAAGGAGGCTGATTCTCAGAAGGCGCCGCCAATCCATCTACAGGTAAGGCCCGCGCCTTCTAAGAAGCAGGGGTGGATTTTGCGAAGCCCTCCCCACTCCCTCCGCCCCCCATCTGCTTGTGGCTGAAGCAAATCCATCCTGAAGACGGAATTGCGAGAACACGCAACAAAAACAAGAGTTGCAACCGAACATGTACGGGGGCTGCTCGGGTGTTGCTAGAGAAGCCCCTGACCCACAGTGCCCCCTGATTTCCGCTCCATTTGTGCCGCCCTCCATCCTGTGGTGTTGGGTCCTCGCTTTGAAGAAACAGCCACCCGCGTTGAGCTTCCTTCTCCGTTCCCTCCCCCCCCATCCCATCCTTGCCTCTGCCCCCCGCACGTCCACAATTTGAGCGCACCCAGCCAACGCTTCGTTGCCCCATGGGGAGCTCCGACGACGGCCTAACTGACTGCGGCCACATGCGTCCGCGCCACCCAATGCAGCGCTTCGTGGCCCCATAGGGAGCTCCACCGCCTGCGACCACCTGCGACCGCGCCACCCAACACAGCGCTCCGTAGCCCCATAGGAAGCTCAACCGAAGGTCCCACTGGTTGTGACCACATGCGTCCACGCCACCCAGTACAGCGCTTCGTGGCCCCATAAGGAGCTCTACCAAAGGCCCGAACGCAGTTGTAACCACATGCGTCCGCGCCACCCAATACAGAGTTCCGTGGCCCCATAAGGAACTCTGCCAAAAACTCGAACGCAGTTGTGACCAAATGCGTCCGCGCCACCCAGTACAGCGCTTCGTGACCCCATTGGGGGCTCCACCGACGGCCCATGAATCCCACCAGCCCTCTGGGCTTAGGTGGTATAACGCGTTTTTGTCTTCTCTCTTCCACTGAAACCCCTCCCCCTACCCACTCCCCTGGGCCTGGACGGGGCGCGCCGCGAGGCGTTAGAGCGTCCAAGATGGCTCAAGACTGCTCCAAGCGGCGTTCAGAGTCGCAAGATGGCCTCCAAGATGGCCCATGTTACTTCAAGATGGGTCAAGATAGCCTCCGACATACCCCCAAGAGGCCCCAAAACAGCCCCAAGACGGATCCAAGTGCCCTTCGAGCGCTCCACGGCGCTCTCCAAAATGCCAAAACCCTTCAAAAGCCTAGGGAAAATCAATGGGTTTGGCATTCTCGCCTTTTCGCTTCCGATGGGCGTTGGAAGCCTCAAGATGGCACCATGATGGCCCAAAAGGGCCCAAAGAGGGGTCCAAGAAAGCCGAAGACGGACCCAAGATCGCCCAAGAGGCGCCCAAGAGCGCTCCAAGACGGCCCCAAGACGCCCAAGACGCCGTTTGAGAGCCTCCGAGGGGCAGTAAGGCGCTGGATCAAGTCACGGTCACGGTCACGGTCACGGTCACGGTCACGGTCACGGTCACGGTCACGGTCACGGTCACAGTCACGGTCACGGTCACGGTCACGGTCACAGTCACGGTCCCGGACCCGGGCCCGGACCCGGACCCGGACCCGGACCCGGTCCCGGTCCCGGTCACGATCACGGTCACGGTCACGGTCACGGTCACGGTCACGGTCACGGTCACGGTCACGGTCACGGTCACGGTCACGGTCACGGTCACGGTCACGGTCACGGTCACGGTCACGGTCACGGTCACGGTCACGGTCACGGTCACGGTCACGGTCACGGTCACGGTCACGGTCACGGTCACGGTCACGGTCACGGTCACAGTCACGGTCGCGGTCACGGTCACGGTCACGGTCACGGCCACGGCCACGGTCACGGTCACGGCCACGGCCACGGCCACGGCCACGGTCACGGTCACGGCCACGGGCATGGGTTTTGCCGGTGTAATGGTGACGTCATCGGCGACAAAGTCGCTGGCAGCATCGGTCATGGTCTGGACCCAAAGCGTGGCGCCGCACAGCGGCGCGGAACACAACACCGCACCGCACAGCATGTCATGGCATGGCGCCTGACTCCTCGGAGGGTAAGTGGATCGTCGTGGAGAGGTCTGGGCCCGTCTGGAGCCGCGGCTCCATGTCCAGCTCCTCAGGCTCCCCGAAAAGCCCCTCACAAGAAGGGCTGTCGGATAGAACCCGCTGGCTCTGCTTTCAACATCGCCTGTTCGATGCTGAAACAGGGCTCCTGCTTGATACTGCTTCAGAACAACGACGACGCCCCCAAAGGGGGGGGGCCTTCAAAGCCCCAACAACTCAGCGAATCGACTCCGGATGTGCTATCACGACCGATGCTCTTTTCGGAGGGCTTATCTTTAGACCGTGGGCATTACTGGAAGGACCGAACACGCCAGTGCTGCCGCGGGAGTTCGACGTGGAACAATTGGAGGCGCGGAAGCGGGGCCAGCCCTGCAGCGGGAGCAACATTTTGAACAACCGAAAACAATCGGAATGGAATAACACATAAAACATATCAACTGTTCAAATCCTGCGTGAAACAACAATACGCGGACAAGGCGGGAGACTCTCTGCACAGACTCGGGGGAGAGAGGAAAGTAGTATCCATATTGTGGAATTGTGTAACGGGAGGGGCAGAGAGGGGAGGGCGAGGGCGGGGGGACTGGAGGGAAAACGGGGGGGGCAGGGAGGGCAGGAGAGGCAGGAATGGGCGGAGGGAGAGGGGAGAGGAAGGGATTCGAACAACATATCCACGGATAGCCGTTCAACCGCAGAGCGACCGCTCGTCGCTCTGTCCAAACAATGCTACGTCACGCCGTGGAGACATCGTCGCGGCGCGCCCGAACCGACCCGACTAGCCCGTTAGGGTCCGCCCGCCCGACCCGACCCGCCCGTTAGGGTTCACGCGTGTCAAAGGCACACGCACCATACTTTAATGCCCCGCCCGGCCGGCCCGACCCGCCCGTTAGGGTTCGCCCGACCCGACCCGACCCGCCCGTTAGGGTCCGCCCGCCCGACCCGACCCGACCCGCCCGTTAGGGTTCACGCGTGTCAAGCGCACACGCACCATACTTTAATGCCCCGCCCGCCCGACCCGACCCGCCCGAATTAGGGTCCGCCCGAGCCGACCCGACCCGCCCGTTAGGGCCCGCCCGCCCGACCCGACCCGACCCGCCCGTTAGGGTTCACGCGTGTCAAGCGCACACGCACCATGCTTGAATGCCCCGCCCGCCCGACCCGACCCGCCCGTTAGGGTCCGCCCGACCCGGCCCGACCCGCCCGTTAGGTCCCGGCCCGCCCGACCCGACCAGACCCGCCTGTTAAGGTTCACGCGTGTCAAGCGTACACGCGCCATACTTTCACGCCCCGCCCGCCCGACCTGACCCGCCCGCTAGGGTCCGCCCGGCCCGACCCGACCCGCCCGTTAGGGCCCGCCCGCCCGACGCGACCCCGTACCCTCCCGCTGGGTTCACGCGTGTCAAGTGCACATGCATGCACCATACTTTAATGTCCCGCCCGACCGACCCGATCCGCCCGTTAGGGTCCGCCCGACCCGACCCGACCTGCCCGTTAGGGTCCGCCCGCCCGACACGACCCGACCCGCCCTTTAGGGTTCACGCGTGTCA